CCTGGATCACCCGCTTCTGCCATCACTCCAGATCCACGAAGCCGAGCATCCGCTGCACACCATGTAGGATCTTCTGCTCTTCCTACGTGCAAATTGCCATCCTTTCCAACCATGCTTCTCCATGATGAAGAACTGCTTGAAGATCTCGTGAATCTCGGATCACGGGCAAAGTCAAAGCCACCCTCCTTATAGGATTCGACCCAGGCAAACTCAGGGTCGAAGTTCCAGTGCCCTCCACGGTGATCAGGAGGGACAGTCCGGCTTGAGCCACCTCGAGCAGCCGAAAGCTTGAGCCATGTGGGCTCTCTCTCTCTCTCTCTCTCCCTCCCTCCCTCCCTCCCTCCTTCCCTCCCTCCCTCCCTCCCTCCCTCCCTCCCTCCCTCCCTCCTCGTTCAAGTTCTTCTAAGTCTCTCCTGGCTTCTTCTTCAGTTCTTCGCTCCTTCTCTGACTTATGTCTTTTCCTCTGTTCTCTGGACTGACCTCGCTTAGGCTTCTGGAACTTCGATTTCACCAATCTCTGCACGCTGTTCAGACCTTTCATCATGGCCACATCGTCTCTTCTTGTCCTTTCTTTCTTCTTCCCATATTTGAGAATGCCTTTGTCCTTGCTTCCAAACCGTGAAGTCCTTGCTTTCCTCCTCGGTCGCTCCCGGACTTCTGACACTTGGTGTTCCAACTGTGCTGCTTCGTCGTTCTCCCAGGCGAGGCACCGCGTCACGTTGGTGCCCGCCCCCTCCATAAGTGACAATATCTTCCTTTCGAACATGGCGTCGTGGAAGCCATGGGGCCATGGAGAACATCTTCTCACCTGAGACCTGAGAAGGAGTTCCTGAAATTTATCCTCCAGGTTTCCTGGTCAGAGCTCTCTTCAACTTCCCCTGTGCATCTTTGTGAAGCAATGTTCCTTTAGCCAATGCTCTCATCTCGGCTTGTCTTCCCACCTCTGTCTCTGTGCTCAGGGCTTGTCCCAAAGTCGTTGAGGGACAGGATCATCATCTAACAGATCAGGGAAATTGCTCTGCTTGCCAAAAACAAGGGTGTTTGCCGAGTATCCTCGCCTGCTCACTGGCTGGTTCTAGTAACTTTCATAGCCTCACGATCTGTCACCTGATGCTCATAGATCAAAGCTGACCAGGCTGTGCCAAGCAAAGCTCCATGTCTTTCAGCATGCCCCAACTGCCATCCGGTATGTGAACCAGTGACTCTGGTTCCGATGGCATGGTGCTTGAGGAACAAAATGAACTCTGCCTCCCATTCACCTCCTTGGTCCAAATGCACCCATGATAGTGCAATCCACTTCGGAAGTTGGTAGCCGTGTCAACCAATACTCAAGGCAACAACAACGTTGCTCTTGACACTCGTTCACCAACTTCAGAGTCTATGGCTACCGTCTCATGGTGACAGGCGTCAGATCGTTGGGGCCGTTTTTGGTCGTTTGGTCGTCTGAGGTGCGGAAGCACATACATTGCCTACTTCAGCTTGCTGCTTCGAAGATCTCGATCAGCTCCTGCCAGCTGAGACACATTCGGCACACAACTCCATTGGACGGATGTCCCAAGTCTTCGAGGAACCAGCTCGAGTTTTGAGATCCCTCTTCCTTGTGACTTTAGGAGCTCTCGGCCTATCTCTTCTTCATCTTCATTTGATTTTTTCCTGATATTCTTCTTCTTCTTCTTCCATCTCTTGAAGCCTTTCATCTGGAACCAAATCACGTTCTGCATATACTTCTTGCTTTCGACCTTTCTTCTACAGTAATATTCTTCTGCTCCCTTCAAAACTTGCATTGAGAACGAACGTGTGTAGCCACCAGCAAAATCGCAAAGAGCCTGTCATTTGCCTCCTATCTTCACTCCGCCCCCAAACAGGCGCTTGGCTGATGACTGTGTGGGCTGCATTTCTGGGCGCATTTTTCCAAAATCGCTGGAGTCCCTTTGAAGTCTTGTTCTCTTTTGAAGGCCATATTGGCACATGTCTGTGATGACTTCCGGCAAACCTTCAAATGCTTCTTGGATAGTTGGCTCTTGCCATGCCTTGGAACCAACAGGATTTTCTGCACTTCTTCACAGCGACATTGGTCAGGAAACCTTCCTGTTCCTGCTCATACTCTTCTTGACCTCCTGAAATTGATTCTTCTGATGCCTCTGCCGGAAGCGTGCCGAACTCATGAGAGGTGATTGATGCTTTGTCCTCATCAGAGCTGTGAACCAGCTCCCAATCCGTTTCTTCTGATTCTGCTTGTTGCAATGGCATATATATAGCACAAGTCACGTTCATTTCGCGCCAATGCCGTCTTCTCCTTCTGTCACTGTCACTTAACCTTGTTCCTCATCAGCTTCACTGGAGTCGCTTTCTTCATCGTCCTCCTTTGCTGCCTCACCAGCCTTGAAAGCCCAAGACTGAGGAGCTCTCTGGAACATCTTGACCTTCTCTTGAATCTCCTGATCCCGCAAGGGGTGTGAAAGGTGTCCAAAGTCGAGCAGATACACAGCAGGGTGTCTGGTGGCAGTGAGGGACGTTTTTTTTGAGCCCTTGATCTGTGTCAGCCCTTGTTGAAGTCCATGACAACTCCGCACCGGGCCTTCTTCTTCCAGGACCTACCAGACCATCCTTCAGCTCCTCCTGAGGTCCTGACACACAAGACAATTGGATGACATCAATGCTGTAAGGTCTCACGGTCTCACCTTCCTCCAGCTGTTGCCGAAGCCAAGGCGGAGAAGCTGGGGCCCTACATGCCGCAGGCCGTGTCCATCTGCATTCGCCGACCACCTCAGACGATCAAAGGGGTGTGCACATCGGGCCTGTTCCACAGTCAGTGTTGGTGCACAAGATGATGGCTTGAGCTTGCCTCGTTAAACTTGGTTGTCATAGAGTTCTTGCCTGAAGCGGACTAGCATCTTGTCCTTCACGGGCTTGGGCACGTCCTTTCTTCTTGCTTCATCCATGCAGCCGGATGTCTTCTGTTTGGTGGAATCGGCATCTGAGAGCCTGATCCTGTTGCTCTCGGATCATGATCGTCATCACTGGAGCTTGCATAGTTTTGCTGAATCCGGCTCTTCTGCTTGCTTTGTCATCAATCCAAGACCCTACAAAACCTAGTTTTCTGTAAACCCCATGGGCCATGCCACTCCTTCCAGCAAAGGCTGAAATTCACCCACCTTGAGGTTTGGAGGTGTCTAGTTCTTGAAGGTCTCGGGATCCATTTTAGACATACAGACATGCACACTTAAAAGAAAGACACACACACACAATCCACCGCGCAACCCAACGCGCAACCCAACGCCACACCCACCCTCCTTGCCAACAAAAGCTGTGAAAGTCCATGATATCAAAACGTGTTGCTTTCTGAAGATTGGGAAACCATTTTGGCCAAACGGGTTGGCTCGACTGGAAAGACCGTCTACGCAAGACATCGAAAGACCAAGCGAGAGACCCAGTGGAATTTTTCGCCAGATTGAGCCAGTGGGTTGGGGACCTCACACTTTATCCATGTGCACCTCAACAAATTAGCCAGACAATGGGGTTGGGTGCCCTCCACTTCGTTCATGGTATCCGACCCAGCTTTTTGATCCTCATTTTTAGCAAAATCTGGGTGTGCATATCTTGGGGTGGACAAGCTTTTTTGGCCTCCTAGTAGGGACCCAATCCCATCCTGGGTAGTATTCTGACGCGATTCTGGCAATAAAAAGGAGGCTTCTGGCGATTTACATTTTCCATCATTTTCCACTTCATCCAAAACATGGTGATTTTCCAAACCACGATTATGTCCGTGGCAGTAATAAGAAACCGGACTCAGAAATTCAACGCAATGCAAGCAATTCGTGTCATGTCGCATCGTTCCGACCATTTTTGGGCTTGCCGTGGTGAATGCCAGGTTTGTTTGTACGGAGCTCGAATCAAAACGTGAACTTTCGAGAGCCCTTCATGTCATGCCGAACAGCATGTGCGAGAAGGGTCACTTTTTGCAAGTTATCTATTTTTAAAAACAAATTCTTTGTATGTGCAGGTTGAGGGGTGTTTCAACACATTGAGTTTTTGGGCTGGAAGCTCGAGACCAAGTGTAGAAGGTTGTGCATGTGGGTTATTTTTGGCAAGGTGAATGCAGCAGAAAATGGGAAAAGACAGCGGCTGTTTGCTGCTGTGGTGGTTGGGGTAAAGTTGTTTTGTAAACATAGCAACTAATTTTTGCATTCTTTTGTCTTTGAAATAGATATTGGCAGGACCACGTAAGTGTGTCAGGTTTTGTTTATATAGATCTTATTCCCAAATCCATTGAGTTTTGCGCGGTTTTCTGCTGCGCGACATGCTTTTCGTATCTCTTGAACAAAACAATCAATGCACCTCTAGGCGGTCGGTGTTCCTTTTTGGGGGACATTGAAGGCTCCTCAAGGCCGTTTGTTTCACCTATGGGCAACCAGACTTCGTTCTTGCCCGGTGGATGCTACGCGCTCCTCAAGGTCGGACACTGGGGCTGGGGGGTGAGTACAGACGCTGAAGCCCGCGCATGGAAACGCTGGAGTCTGAACAGTTGCCGTGACATAGATTGAATCATGGTGAACGGTCATTTCACTGAGAGGTCAAACAAAACCAGGTCGTATTTTGTGGGCCGGACATGTCTAAAGTGTGGAGGAAAAGATAGTAACAGCCGACAACGCTGAGTCTTTCTGCTCTGCTTTGTCATGTTTCGCAGCATTTTGAACAAATCAAAAAAACACGCAAGGACGATCGCACATGTGCAACTGTAGAAACCCAAGCTGGTTCATTTGGCCACAGCCTGAACTCTCTACGATTTGTCAACGATATGTCTGCCACTTGACGTATGCATGTCGCCACCATGACCTTTCTCAGCTGAAACATATTCTGCCACAAGTGGACGACCAGAAGACGACCTCACTGATGCCATCCTGAAGACTGACAAGTTTGATAGAGGTATTTTATAGTGAAACACATCAGTGGACCGTCACTCTCAACAGTTAGACTTAGACAGATGAGAGATCTCAAACCAACCGTTGGAGCCACGTGTAAGAAAGCCTTTGACTGGCTGCGATGGGAGGGTCTCCGAAAATAGAGACCGTTTGAAATGGTATGGGGGGCAAAGGAAAATTCAACGCCTACCAGAAGAGCTTTGGGAAAGGCTCTCCGAAAGGCGGCTACAAGGGCTGGGACACGTCTTCGCAGGGTGAGTGGGTTCCTCCCTCGCGAACCGATGAGAGCGAGACTCTGCCACTTTCGCGGGTGTTGCACGTGCCGCCGGCCCATGTCGACGACAAACCCAACGAGGTGGCAGTGCGGTGTTTGTGTTCCCGTTTGTATAAGTTAGGTGGGAGTTTTGGAATTCATTGTTCTGAGAATTCGTTGCAGCAAAAACGGTCGGATTTTTAAATCCATTTGGTGTTGCAGTCGATCCTGGGACGTTGCAGGCTTTGCAAGACGAGGTGCGTCCCTTCTTCCGTGGACATCACCTCTGTGCCGCAGGAGATGTTTGGTGAGGAAAGCAGAGATGGCAGGATACAAAGCAAGGTCCTGTTTGTAGAGGAACCCGGGCCCAAATTCTAAAACACATGAATGGTCCACGAATCAACATGTCTTCACTCCAATATTGATGGGCTATCCTGCACTCAACAGAATGGACCTGTGAACTTGATTTGATCAAATTGGTCATCTTAGTGGTACATGAAATCCATTGAAATCCATGGTGGAGAATTCGTGGATTTTACATGGCAAACAAAACGCTGCAGAGCACGAGGCAAAAGTCTTCAAAAGTCCAAGAGATTCGTGTGTGTGTGTGTGTGTCCACTCCTGTTTCCAAGGACACTACCCTAGTTTTTCTAATCTACCCTACAAGCTTTTTGTACAGAAGCAGGGGGCACGGCGGCCGTTCACCTAGCCGTGCTAACAAAGCTATGGTGTTCGGTTGGAAGAGATACTGGACGCAGTATCTTGTACCTGCAATTTTTAATCTTCACTCATTGATGCTTCTAAGTCAATTCAACGCTGTCTCATACGTTGTTTCCTGCAGTATCTAGATTTAAAGGGCTAATGCACACCGCGAAGCTACCTGAAATCACGCTCCACGGAGCAACCTTCTCAAGTGTGTCTTCGCAGCTTCTTCCCACTGTGGTGAGCTGTGTGATCCCTACGGGGCGCCGTTACCGCAAGAACCTGTTCACTCCTCACCGAGGGAGTAAGTTTCCTGAATTTTCCCTGAAGTCCTTTAGACTGAACTTGACCTGCTCGAAATCAGCTTGGATTGTCTCACCCAGCACACGTGAAGATTACTGCAGAGTTCACTGAAATCCTTTCTGAATCCCACTGCAGAGTTAACTGAAAGAGTTTCACCCGGGAAATCCATTCACATCTTTTAACCTTTCAAATCTTGTTAACTTTCCAAGTTTTTAAATCCTTTTTCCAGAATTTTAATTGCGGTTATTCAGTACACTTTACAGTTTTCCGACCTCACGGACCATTATTCATGTATTTATTTTCTTACATACATATTCTCACTGTCTTCGACCTGCCGAGCAGCCATGACGTATCCCTGGCCCTATTCTTTGCCGCCACACATCCATCCACAACCACAACCGGCACAACCTAATTGGATTCAATTTCCACCACAGGCTTCACCACAACCTTTTTCAACACTGCCGCAACACCCAACCTCACATCACTACCCATTGCCCATTACACCTCCACCTCACACTCAATACATCCAACCACACCAATTTCAGGCACATTTTCCAGTGCAACCTACAGCTCCCTTCGACACTACCCACCTTGCGCAACAACATCCACATCTCACCACTCAATCACCACAATCCCAAACTCACACTCATCCTACATTGCCACTTCAGTCTCAATCTCACTCTCAACCGCCACCTCATCAACTACATCAACCACATCTACCACAACAACTACCTCCATCACCACACACGACAACTCAAACCCCTGCCACAGCATCTTTTCAACCACCACCACTACAAGCGCCTGATGTACTACAAGCACCACCACCTGATCCAACAACAATCACTTCACAGCAGTTGACCACATCAACTCCACCACCACCACCTTACACCTCAACAACCTCACCAGCGACTACTCAACGTGCTTCAGCATCCATCAACACACCCGCACAGCCTCCGCCGCCACACCACATACCACGCACTACCAAGCCAACACCATCCATTGCACCCACACTCAGCACTACAAGAGGCATTTGGCGCGACCCAGATCGCTCACCACCACGCACACCTGAACACCACCGCTACTCAGCCTTTCCAGCCGTACCCTCCATTGCACCATCACAAGCTACATACAGATCCAGGAGTCGCACTCGATCACTGCGTACCACACGCTCTCCACTACCAAGACGTCGAAGCTCCGCCACACAATCCGTGGCTAGTTCTCAAGCTCAATCCAAACCTGCAGACAGACAAACATCACGATCACCAGCAATCACCCAAGACAAAGCTCACACTTCCAGCCAAAACATCACTACAGCTGCTACTGCAAAACACACTCCTGAGCCACCTCGCCGTACTTCCAGCATTACACTCAAGCCCAACCCACATTTCACTCCCAAACACTCCACACAACAGACACCTCCACCATCACCACCTGCACCAATACCTGCAATTCCAGTCCAACGTCGACCTCACAACTTACCTCCTCCAACATTCCACCCACCAACCGATCCAGCACAGTTGGAGGTCTTTCAATGGCTCAACCGCTACGCACAAGCACTTGATGTCAAGAATGAACCCATGCTTTCATACGTGGCCAAAGTGCTCAGTGCAGCTCATCTCAACAGCACCCACTTTACCGACCTACAACTTCTCACCCACAAAAAATGGTGCGAGGAAACCAACAAAGAAGAACATTATTCCTTCCTACTACTCACAATCCCCACTTTAGCAAGCAGGGGCGACGCCCCGATTCTTCCTCCTACACGGAGAGAGGCGCTGAACATACCACCTATCAAACACATTTTTGCGGCGCATGTGAGCGAGGAGGGCAACATCATTTCAATACTTGAAGCAGGAGAAATCGTGCGATCCATTCTGCATGATGCTCATAATGTGGGATATTTTTGTCAGGCTTTCGAATTGTCGAACTACGAGCCTCATGATGCTGCTGAAGCTGCACGCGTCCTCTTCAATGCTTCCAACATGGCCAAGAACCGCAGCGGTCTTATTCTGACGATCAAAGCCTATGGACACGGCCAGAAAGTCACCCATGGTGGCGAATCCGCAGCGAATGACTTGCTGCTCAGAGGAGAAGGGATTGTAAAATACACCCCAGGCAAGTGCTGGGTGGCCCATCCCAAACATTCCAGAATTGAAGGGATAGCTTGGAAAAGCGATGCAAAGCCACCGCTCAGTTTCATTTAATTCAATCTATTCCACTCACGAGGTTCATTTTTCACCCCGTATCTTGGATGACGACCTAGCCTCAAACAATCTCAGCCAGCCTGCTTGATATTGATATTGATTTTTGCTCACATCGTTGTCAACTTCCTTTTCTTCCGATATTTCATTCCTGTACAGATTGATGCCGACAACATGATCTTTTTTACGGTGACTTTTCCAATTTTCCAGACTTGCAGCATGTCAACTTTCCTGGTTGTTATCAAGCTTTTCGAAGAGAGTCACAAGCATTTCGAAGAGAGTCGCAAGATCTCCTGTGATTTGTAACTTGCCCCGCAGCCATTTTGTATTATCTTGAATATTGAGCTCGATCCCTGACGACCGCCGAGCTATATTTGCCTCTCGACGACTACCACGACGATGACTTCCCCTTTGGACACGGCATTTGCCCATCGACTTCTCTTAGCACACCTTCAAGCAGCCACCTCCATTGCTACTACTTTTCAAAACCTTCCACCATTTACACCGCAACTACCACAGCAAGCACATCACCCACTTACTACCACTCCACCTTCTCCCTCAAGACCAGCCAGGCACACTCCTCCTCCATTGCAACCACAGCCGTCTTTCTCACGCAGCCGCAGTCCGCCTCCCGCCAAAGGCAAACCATACATGGAATGCAAACCAGAACCATCTCCTTCACATACCCCCACTTCGCCACATCAGTTTTCACCACACCGCCACAAGTCCAAAGCCACTCACCAACGCAAGAACAATACAGACCTCCAGAAACAGCGTACACCACCAATCACAACGATTTCTCTGACCAGTTCGCCCAATACACCTCCACAAACATCACCAGTTCCACCGAATCCGCCACTGCCCACGCCTTTACCACCTACATCACCAGTACCACCATCCAAACCAGCGCACCTCCTCACGGATTCACCACACTATCCTGACAATGGAGGATGGGAACCCAGTGAAGATGAGAAACTTGCGGCCTTTAAACTCAACAAACGATCTCGCCCCAGTTGGAAATACATAGCAAAAGCACTCAACAAAACACCTTTTGACTGCAAAGGTCGATGGCAAGTCTTGCGAATTCTTTATACACCTCAACAGCAAGACAGTCCAGAAGCAGAAGCATCATCGCCACACAAAGCATCTCAACAAGCAGAGGCAACTCCTCCAGCCACAAAAGATGCCAGTACGATGACTACAGAACCTCCGGATCTCACCGACAAAGAGACATAGAATACACAACAGCAGTCTATGATCGTCCAGCCATTGCTTTCCACGACTTCTTGGTGCTGAAGAACATCTCGAACTATTGATGCCTTTGTACTGTATTTTATTGTCAATTCGTACATATTTACATATTGGCTTATTGCTTTTTGTCGTTCTAGCAGTTGCGAGCAATAGACTCCAACCCACAACACATCATTACAGCTTTCTTCCACCCGCGCAGCAAAAAACAAGATCAGTCGCCAGCAATGCACACTTTGCTTGAACACACTGTGCTTGAACATTTGCCACACATGACAAACTCTCCACCACTGAAGCATCGCCAATATTGTGTACAGACCAGTTTATTCAGTCTAATTCATCGTTTCACTGCATCCATGCGAAACACTACTGAATGGTCTTCCTATTGTTGAACCGGATGAGTTTTTTGGGCGTTTTTGACCGCTTTGTTGTCTCCTTTTTGATGCATTTTGATGTACTTGCAGCTCGGCTAGTTCAACTTAGCTCAGCCTTCCATTCCTGTACAGTTTTGTCTCTCGACGACGACATCGCGATGGATTCAGATCCTGTTGGGACAGACCTCGTTGCTTTGGATGCCCAGATCATTTCACAACTGCGAGATACAAACATTCAGATCAACCGGCTGATGGTCCTTCAACTTAATCGACTACATGACACTATTCGACAGTTACACTCAGCAGAATCCGACACCAGCACCCCAGACCCACGTCTACCAGGAAGAATCCAACAGCTCCAAACATTGCTGCCTTCGCTCAAAGCAACCGTGGAGCATCAACAGACTTTTTACCACCAATGTCTCAGATTACAACACATACCAACTACTCTTCAACATCAAGTTTTACG